CTGCAATATAACAAAGAGTGAAAAATTTAAGGGGGTCTGAATACTTTCCGTACCCACTGTATATATATATATACCGTTAAGTGACTTGTGCATTGTTTTACTTGCTTGTTTTTGACGTATCCGACCGAACTACAAACTTTCCAGTGATGTCTGTGAGAAAGGTATAGTCACTCGACAAGCTCGCACATCTGCGCCGCCGCGCGTTCAATCCACTCAGTGTGCTTTGCTTATCAGCTCGCGCACATCAGCTATACAGTCAATACTGAATGTTTAACATTATATTCATTGCATACATATACTTCGTAGACATCCTTAATCTCTTAATAACTCCATTCTGCTGTCTGTTGTTCTGTTGTCGGTGTTTCTTTGTCTGAATATGGCACTTAACACATGCTGTGTGGTATCGGCGTTTGGTATCGGGGCATTTTAACGAGTACGAGTACAGGAGCTCAGTATCGGGCCCGATACGGTGCATCCCTAAATAAAACCATATGATTACTTGCTTTTGATATTTTATTTGATTTATCACCTCATTGCTATTATATTGTATTTGATTTATCACCTCATTGCTATTATACTGTATAAGTATTTTAAGTCGTTTTAAAGTATTTTTTCGCTTAGGTCTATTTTTATCACCACAAAAAATGATCTGATTAATCGTCAGAATAATCGTCCGATTACCAAAATAATCGTTAGTGACAGCCCTAATTCCCAGACAATATTATGCACAACAAAAAAAAAACATGATTTTTTTGTATGAATACCTTCTCTAAACATTTTGAGATGGACATCACTGAAAGTAATGATATCAACATGCAGTTCAAGTGTCATATTTATTTAAAAATGCTGATTCGGTGTAAGAAATATTAAGCTGATTCAAACCAATAATTTATGAGACTTTCCGAATGATTCATGAAAAACTGTCTCATTTTCTATTTAAAAATATCATTTATTACTGAAAAATCTCTGCTGCATATTTAACTACACTTGATTCATTTCAAGATGGACATCACTTGAAGGAATGATAACATGCAGTTCGTTAAATGAGTTATGATTGTTCAGAAACATTCGTTCAGAGTTCATTCTGTTAAGTTTCAGTCATGGTTATACATTCTGATTTTTGTATACATGTAATATTTCTGTGCTATCTGCCTAGGGTTCTGAATGTAAGTTTGCATATAGTACACTGAGGGGAAGTAAGGACTCTTATGGGGGTGAGATAGCTGCTTCCGGTATTTTTATGTTGTTGTGAACGGCTATGGTTGCAGTCGAATAAAGGGAGTTTTCCATTAAGTTTAAAACAGTTGTCTTTTGATGAGTAACATTGGTAGCAGAGGATGGCTAGCAATTACAGAGTCCCACCAACCTTTGACAAGGGGAAGCCATACGAAAGTTGGAAGAATGAAGTCGGAATTTGGACTAGAGTTACGGAACTTGAAAAAAGTAAGCAAGCGCTCGCTGTTGCTTTGGCGCTGTCGGGAAGAGCGAGAGAAACAGCGATGGAAATACCGGTAGACGATTTAAACACGGACACTGGTATGACAACTTTACTAGCGAAACTTGATGATTTGTTCCTCAAGGAAGAAAAGGACCGGACATATGAAGCTTATAGGAGCTTTGATCGTATAGTGAGAGACAGTAATGTTTCCATGACAGACTATATAATCAATTTTGAACAACGCTACTCTCGGAATGCGCAAGTATAACATGGAACTTCCTGATGCAGTATTAGCTTTTAAGCTGCTGGACACTGCATGCTTGGATGTGAAAGATCGACAGTTAGCTTTAACAGCATGTACAGATCTGACTTTTGCATCAATGAAGTCGGCACTAAAGAGAATTTTCACAGGAAACGTATCTGCTTCAACAGTAGGAATTAACCAGGAAACGGCATATATAACTGAACAGAGGCGACGGAGAGGCAAGTGGTGGCCCCAGAATGACCAACAAAAGGACACCATTACCTGGCACAAACCCTCTGGACAGATATGGCCGCAGATCAAAATGTGCAGTGTGTCAAAGTACATTCCACTGGGCCAAGGACTGCCCACACAAAGGTGAGCAAATCAAACTGACTGAAGACTGTAAAGAAACTAATGTAGAGGAGTGCAATATTACTCTGTTTACAGAAGAATTACACTCTGAAGCAGAAATCCTTATGACTGAATGTTTTGGATCTGCAATAATAGACACTGCATGCACTTCGAACTGTGTGTGGACAAGAATGGCTAAATCACTAAGCTAAGTCAAAACAGATTTGAGGAAGACAGAAACACAAAGCCATAGACCATTTAGGTTTGGAGATGGAAAAGTGGTCCATTTCAACAGAAAGTTGAAAATTCCTGCAAAAAAATTGGACAGATCAAGTGCAAAATTGAGACTGAGGTTGTCCCAGCTAACATTCCATTGCTCTTAAGCAAAGTCTCCTTGAAAGGAGCAGGAACAGTATTAGACATGAAAAATGACAGAGCAGAAATGTTTAATCAACCTGTAGAACTTGAGTTTACAAGCTCTGGTCATTACTGTGTAATGGACAACGAAAGTAGCCCTAAAGACATGCAATGTAGTGAGCAGATCTTGGCAACTGCTGAAGAGGAAAGGAATGAGGATGAGAATGAAATCCTAATAATCTCGGATAAAATTAGCTCAGCAGAAAAACGTAACATCCTGATGAAGCTTCACAAACAATTCGAGTTGCAGCGACTTCTTAACAGCTCAGGAAATAAAGATACAGAATGCAGCATCATCTTGCAAAAAATTGTGAGTGAGTGTGAGGTATGCCAAAAACATAGTAATGCTAAACCAAAGCCTGCTGTTGGCCTGCCACTGGCATCGCAGTACAACGAAACTGGCTGTAGATTTGCATGAACTTGAGCCAGGCATGTGGTATCTCCATATCATTGATCAGTTTACTCGCTTTAGTGCAGGCAGCATTCTGACCACAAAGAGATCTTCTGAAATAGTGAAACATTTCCTCCATGACTGGATAAGCGTACATGGCCCACCCCAGAAACCGTTCAGCGACAATGGGGGAGAATTTAATAATGATGAGGTAAAAGATATGGCAGAAAACTTCAACATAGAAATACAAACAACAGCTGCATATAGTCCGTGGGTCAATAGACTTCTGGAGCGACACAATCAAACACTCGCTGAAATCATAATGAAAGTGAAAACTAGTAATGGTTGTGATTGGCATACTGCGATGGACTGGGCTCTTATGGCAAAGAATACTATGCAAAGTGTCCACGGCTACAGTCCTCATCAGCTAGTGTTTGGCCAGAATCCCAACTTACCATCTGTGCTGATTGAGAAACCTCCAGCTCTAGAGGGTACCCACAAAGAGTCAGTGGGTAGCAAGACACATCTCTGCTTCACATGCATCAAGATAGGCTTTTACGGAAGCAGAGTGCTCAGAGAGAATTCGCAGAGTGTTACGGAAGCAACTACGTCGCACCGATGAGAAATATGAAATGGGTAATAAAGTGTACTACAAGAGAGGGGATTGTCCAGCGTGGAAAGGACCAGGAACGGTCATTGGTCAGGATGGAGCAGTGGTATTTGTGAGACATGGAGGGACTTGCATTAGGGTACATCGTCTGAGCAGAATGAAGCAGAACAGCACACAAGTGACAATACAGAGACACCTAGTGGTACTAACCTGGAAACTGTTGTCAGTTTACAAAAAGGACAAATTGTAAAATACAGAGATAAAGAAAAAGGTGTTTTGTGTACAGCTAAAATCTTAGGGCGTGCAGGTAAAGCTACAGGTAAATATAAAAACTGGTTTAACCTGTTGCTCATTGAGCCCACTAATGTTGCATGCATTTGACTTCGCAAAACAGGAAGAGATAAAGAGTTGGAGAGATAACCATGTCTTTGAAGAAGTGAAGGATGAGGGACAAAAGTGCATTTCAATTAGGAGACATTGAAGGGGTTTGTACCCAAAGCTCATCTTGTTGCTAGAGGTTTCGAAGAGCTAGAGGTGTCAGAACTCAAAAAGGACTCACCAACATGTGCTTCAGAGTCTCTTCGGCTTCTTGTGGCAGTGATTTGTCAAAGACAGTGGACACTTAACTCCATGGATATAGAATCTGCATTTCTACAGGGAATGGAGCTGTCCCGTGACCTTTAGACCTTTATATCAAACCTCCTCCTGTGGCCAACAATGAAGGAAAACTATGGAAGCTTAAAAAGTGTGTGTATGGTTTGGCCGATGCTTCACTCTACTGGTATAATAGAGTGAAGGAGATTGTCATGAGGTCAGGAGGAACAATGTCCCAAGTAGATCCTGCTGTGTTCAACACATTCATTTGAATGATTCAACAGGCTGATTCAAACCAGTAACACCTGAATTTGTATTGAAATTAAGTGAGTTTGCTCAGAAGCTTTTCATTCGGTGGAAGATGCAAAACAATAACACTTTAATTTGAGTCTTTCTAGGTTATTATTGAAGAAATATATACTCATAACATATACACATATATACTCATTACTGATTTCTGGTGAATCAGACTATGCTGGTCACGTTGTATGTTTTTTGTGTGCCGCTTGCGAAGACCATTAAATAGAAAGAAGGGTTTTCTTACTATTAATGCCTGTTCACACCAAGGCTAATGTTAGGTGTAATAAACATTTTAAATCTCTGTGCTGAACATTTGTGTGGGTTTGAACAGGTGTTTACTTTAGTTTGTCTCATCTTATCACATGCAACTCATACTCTGAGCTCAAACATTGGTGAAATATTGATGCTTTTGCATCATTTACTCGTATTGGACTGAGCTGTGAACAGGACTTTATGAATATAGTGAAAGCACAAAGACTATATGTGATATGATTCGTGTGTGTGTGTCAGTGAGCGTGACAGCAGAGCTGAGCTGTGGGCAGGATTTAGAGGAGCTTCTCCTTGATGCCAGTCTGGACACCAGCAGAGATGCACCGTAATGCTGTAACCAAGGTAATGCAAGGAAATTCCCATGTTTATGAAGGATTTCCTGGAATAATAACTAGCCAGTGTGCTTTAAAGTAAGTCTAGTAGGTTAAGTTAACCTGTCTTTGTCTCTTCTCAGGATCCACACAAGCAGAGAGAATCAGAAGGGCCGGTTTGTTCTCGCCACATGGCATCCACTCATATTCCTCGGGTCTTTTTCCCATCTTTCTTGTGTCTTTACCACAAATTTTCCAAATGTTGCAACAGAACACAGAGGACTCGCCTTCCTTCCAGTGTCCAGCTTTTATTGAAATTAGGAAATTCATCTCTTCTGTGATTTAAACATTTGCCATAAAGTTGTATGTTCCCAGTTACCAAAGACGCCCATGCAGAGAAACGCACACTCGCTGACCTCCTTCTGTTCCTCCCTGTTACGCTGTCGACTGTGGCACCTCTCCGCCGCCCCCTGGTGGACTGGAGGTTATAATGCAGCACAGAGACTGACCGGCGGTAACATGCGAAGCCATTTCATTGGTTTTGGCTTTCAGATATCGTCAAGCGAGCGGACGTTGTTGCGAGTCTCTGTGTGCGTTTGTCGTTATTAGTGTCTCATTAACACACAAAAAAAAAACTTGCACCAAAGTGAGATCTGCTTTCCGTTCATTCCTGCTGCTCAGGAATCTGTCAGACCCCCCATTTCTGATCTCCGATCTCACCAGGTACCCTTCATCAACCAGCACTTCTGAAGGCATCTGATTTGTGCGTGAATGTGTGGAACAATCATTTAGCGAGTCATCGAAATGATTCGGACATCTTCGTCCTCGGCGAACGAATTAATTGTACACTTTTCACTCTCTCTAAACACTCATTCTGTCTTCCATCGGTAAAACCCTGTGTCACCGTACGTTCCCATCCGAAGACAGGACACGACACGTTTGCCTTTAAACCTTTTTTCAGCTCTTTACTCTGGCTGCTTTGCTGAATCAGTTTGTATTTATTTTAAACAACCTGAGTCTGCTGTGTGATTTTTTTTTCTTTTATTTTCCTCCTCATGTTCCCCATCTTTTTTTTAAGCTGTTGTTGTGGGATTTCCCCCCCTTTGGTGTATATTTTCAGATCTATAAAGAGCAAATATTAAGTTTAAGGTTTTCCTATTTTGATTGGTGGGGGTTTGGGAAAGGGGCGGGGCACTTTGGATTGATTTATATAAATAGGGCTGGAGTATATCATGTAAATCAGGTGTGTGTTTGGGCGTGAAATGAAGGCAGTAGGAGTGCAAGCACAAGACTTCATGAAGAAAACACTACGCTTGTGTGAAGCTACTGCCGATGGAGACACTAGAGACTACACTTTACCTCGAGAGACGTCGCCATCGTCAGACTAACGTGGGATTTTAGGGCAAACGAGAAGCTTGTGACACTGAAGCAAGGCTTGAGCTGATCAGTGTAGTACTTCCCACCATTCCTGGCTCTGTGGTTGGTGCTTTTCAGTTTCTCTCTCTCTCAATGTCTGGTTGATGTCGATTCTGACGTCTATCTGCCAGGCTTCAGAGAAGCTTTGCCTCTTCATCCAGATTGTCTTTGACCTTGAAATCAACACTTCTGTGCTGCCCCCCAACCCCATGTTTGTTATGCGTTATTTTTAGTAATTTTTAAAATGACCTGTTAAATTAATCAAACCGTACTGGTAAACACAAAGAGATGTGTATGGCTTTTCCCTCTCAAATAAATGCATGTAATGACAAAAGTAGCACGTGTGGCCATGTTTTTATGAACTTGCTTGCATTTGTGATTTACAGTTGTACTTGACAGTTATTTCAGGGTCAAGTAACTATTTAAAAGTGACTTTGTTCACCTTATTTTTAACGTAAGAGCGGACAAAATTTGTTTAGTTATTTTTAGCTTTCTGGCTATTTTGCAAACTGGTATTTATCATATTCATGTATTATCGTAATCATAAACACTCATTTGTAGTGCAAAGTTTTACCATTTACGGTGCTTTGTTATTCTTCTAGTTATTTATCAATACACTGTAAAAAATATTTTTCAAAATTGTAAATAAAACAAAGATATTACTAGAGTGTGTTTTGCAAAAAAAAAAATTTAAATAATAGGATTTCTGTTTTTCTGGTTCAGATTTTTGACTAATACAGTGTTCATTTTGTAGTTTAATTTTGACAATGTTTCTACATCAAACGTTTCTCAGTGTAATCGGTGTAATTTTCACTCAGAAATTGCTAGCAAACTTCACAAAGAATTACAAAGAAACAAGTGACATGGATCAAACATGACATTTTGAGTAGAAAGGCTGAAATAGCATTTTCTTGTTAAATGTATGGCAATCATCTTTAGGTTCGCACATTCACGAGACATGGCTTAATCCATGCTGAAAAATAAGGTGGATATTACAGCTAGTCTAAAAAAGCGTTTGTTGTCAAAAAGTAGCATTTTTGGTATCACGATTATTGTTTTGGTATCAAAAGCAGTTGTGTATGCGAGTGTTCATAAAACAACCCGATCTCATGAAAGTGCGTATAAATAGTACGCCAAATAAAAACGAAAACTCGTATTGATACGCAGAAATGAACATTGGCGTGTATATGCTACGCGATGGGTAGGATTAGGGTTGTGGGGTAGATGCGTATCATATTCACGCCAAACACGTGCGTATCGTATGCACGCCAAAGTCCATTTTTGCGACTTCAATACCACGAGTTTTAGTTTTTATTTGGCTTACTATTTATACGCATTTTCACCGGGCTCTCATAAAAATAAACGGCTTAAATGCAAACGTGACATAAAAGAAGACACTGAAAAACTAAATTGAACATGCTATTAAATTTAGACTTCTGAGAATGGATGCAAACTATGATGAAAATTCACTTCAACTCTTAGAATGTTTATTATTTTGGGATGAAAACTTTTGCTAAGCATTTACATTTAAGCCTAGTGGTTTTGGAGGGGTCTGCAAAGAAAATAGAAAGATGTTTCATTTTAATTTAATTAAAGAAAACCATTATTTAATGCAATAAAGATACTTGATGAAATGTTATAAAGTGCTGGGGGTCTTTATTATTGGTTTGCTGGGTTTGCACAGGTGGAAACCCCTAGTTTCTATGAAAGCAAGCGGTCTGGTCAGGTGGTCTGGTATGTTACACACCCTGAGAGATGTGTGCAAACACTATCAAAGGACCCTGCAGCAGGACAGCAATCTGTTTGAGATTATCAGGCTTCTGTTTAAACCCAGAGCACAGGACATAATACACCAAAAACACACCCTCCTTATACATGTCCTGAGGTGGAATTAAAAGCAATGATAATATAATCCTCATTTTGAGTTTAATTAAAACGATACCGAGTTCCTGTGAGACTTTTTTTTTTTAATCATTATTTCCTCATGTAGAAGTCATTCAGTCATGCTGTAGCCTACTTTAGGATATTTGGTGAAGTATAGAAGGGATTTTTGAGGTATTTGACTGTTGGAGCTTATTATTATAAATCTACTTTGAAGGAATTTCCATGTAATCCTCAGTGACTCTCTCTTACATGAGAACAGAGACTTTAGAGGTGTATGTAGATATAATAACAGATTTTACCATATAATCGGCACCCATACTGTATATTATATACTAGATAGATTTATACAGTTGTAAATAAAACCGATTAATGTGGGGGCGCTTAAGCAGGAATGTGTTTATTTGTCATAAAAAGTAATGTCATAATAAAAACCTTATATATTTTTAATGTGTGGGAACTACTGATCTGTTAAGCACTGTATAAATCCAACAGCTTATTAGTGCCAGTTAATATAAGTGTTAATACCTGTTTAATCCAGCGTAATGGCTTTACTGTCCCTCCATCCATTCCAGGCTATAAGCGCTTAATAATTAAAGCTACAGTAACTGTTGTACCTTCACTTGCTGCTTTAGTATGGGATGTTAT